AATCATTTTTTGTTACCAATCAATAGCAGCTAAGTTAAATGGCCAGTTGTAAATGCTTCATATATTAAACCTGTATATTAAGTTCATATATTAAGCCTGTATATTAAGTTCATATATTAAGCTTGTATATTAAGTTCGTATATTAAGCCTGTATATTATAAGTTCATATATTAAGCCTGTATATTAAGTTCGTATATTAAGCCTGTAGATTAAGTTCATATATTAAGCCTGTATATTAAGTTCATATATTAATCATGTATATTAAGTTCATATATTAAGCCTGTATATTATAAATTCATATATTAAGCTTGTATATTAAGCCTGTATATTAAGTTCATATATTAAGCTTGTATATTAAGTTCATATATTAATCCTGTATATTAAGTTCATATATTAAGCCTGTATATTATAAGTTCATATATTAAGCTTGTATATTAAGCCTGTATATTAAGCCTGTATATTAAGTGCATATACATTGAGCCTGTATATTAAGTGCATATACATTGAGCCTGTATATTAAGTTCATATATTAATCCTGTATATGAAGTTTCATATATTAAGCCTGTATATTAAGTTTCATATATTAAGCCTGTATATTAAGTGCATATATGGAGCCTGTATATTAAGTGCATATATTAAGCCTGTATATTAAGTTTCATATAATAAGCCTGTATATTAAGTTCATATATTAAGCCTGTATATTAAGTTCCACATTCATGATTTGTTAAGTAAAAATCTTGAAACCTGCAGAGAAAAATAAATTAAATGGGATAACAGTCTAATTATTTATGAAGGATGCGTCCGATCAGTCAAATGAGAGAATTGCTAACCCACGTTGCGTCGCATTGTTCTTGCAAAGTTTAGTTTTTGCCCAGATTCATCGATCATCGTAGTTTTATTCACCGGTCGAATTCGCAGCGTTTCTCGGTGATATTTGCGCTACTCCTATCGGTATTTGTTTGACTTTTATTCGAATTCGAACGAGTAGCCGTGCAATCGAGAATCGTACTTGTGGAGGATGGAAAGCGTTTGTTTGCGGTGAATTGACAACTTCCGAATTACGAATCGGTAACTCGTACCGGTATAGTTGATGAAGCGAGCGTTTTTCATGCTCTCGTTTGATCAAAGTAATCGAAAAACGTTATAGAATTCTTCTGCCTTAATCGAATACATTAACGAATGGTTGTTAATATTTTTAGAACGCTCGTAACCACCGGAGTTCTCTGATAATAGGTTATCGATATGGAAAATAAGCTGTACATTACAGAAATTATCGGACAGTTTTCATTTTCCTTTAAACAAGAGGATGACAGGTTTTATGGAAACATTTGATCCAGTTACCGTAAGTGTACTCACCGTCATAAGCGCATGACTCAAACGCGTCCATTTTGCTCGTTTATTGCCGCCATCGGTTGTCCAATTAAGCCGGCGTCATTCCATTGTATTTATCGACTTGTTTCGATTAAAACTCGTCGAGAAAACCATATCTAATATAACGTGCAAACGTCTATTAGCGATCGAATGCGTTCGACCGCTACGATAAACGTAACATTTTAGCGATTTACCTGTTTGTACATTGTACGTTTGGTAAATTTACCGACTGCATTGTGTGTCTCTATTAACGGAATTATGGGAGATTTATAAGTTATGATCGATAGCCTTTATTACCATTGCTTGGACCTTTACCTGGTACCTAGCGTTTCATTATGCTATTATGCTACTCCCCTGTTTTACCCCATTGTACCTACCATTTTCTACTTCCCTATTATTTTAGTGCTTCTATTACTTCGTGTGTACTATTTCTACTGTCTTTTATAGCTGCATGATCTACTTCAAAGGGTTACTATGAATGTATCTTTTATCTGACGCTTTGTATTTGGATTCACCTTTTCTACTGTTACTTCATTTCATTTTTGTTGCTTCATGTGTACTATTTCTATTGTCTTTTATAGCTACTTGCACTACTTCAAAGGGTTACTATGAATGTATCTTTTATCTGACGCTTTGTATTTGGTTTCACCCATCATTTTCTACTGTTACTTCATTTCATTTCTGTTGCTTCACATGTACTATTTTTACTGTCTTTTATAGCTACTTGTTCTACTTCATCAAAGAGTGACAATGAATGTACCCTTCATCTGACGCTTTGCATTTGGTTTCACCTACCATTTTCTTCTGTTCTATTGCTTCACTATTTCTGTTACTTTATATGTACTATTTCTGCTATCTTTTATAGCTGCTTGTTCTACTTCATCAAAGTGTTACAATGAATGTATCCTTCATCTGACGTTTTGTATTTGGTTTCACCTATCATTTTCTTCTGTTCTTTTACTTCAGTATTTCTGTTACTTAATATGTACTATTTCTCCTATCTTTTATAGTTACTTGCTCTACTTCATCAAAGTATTACAATGAATTTATCCTTCATCTGCTCCTTCGATATTTCTGTTACTTCACATGTACTATTTTTACTGTCTTTTATAGTTACTTGTTCTACTTCATCAAAGTGTTACAATGAATGTATCCTTCATCTATTACTTCATTATTTCTGTTACTTCATATGTACTATGTCTCCTGTCTTTTGTATTGCAGCTACTTGCTCGACTTCATCAAAGTTACAATGAATCCTTCATCATTGTACTCGGTTTCAACGAAGTTCTAGTTGCGAATGGTCAGATTTTCATTGGCCATAATTCCGACGTTAAACATCTTGCAAGTACTTACTCGGTGATACGCGATTAAGCGTGCTCTCAACAGAAGATATACGGTAGCCTGAAGGCGAGGAGTTATTACATTCCACGAGTCGGGAGAGAAATTCCTCGGGACAGAATCACGATGATACGAGAAATCTTGTCCAGTTTTAGAACTTACCGGGTGATCGATGAAATAACGTCGTTAAGAGGTTCAAAAAGTTCATTTTATTTTTTACTTACAGCGTCGTAGTCATGAAAACGTCATTCGCTACTCTTCTATCTCGAACGATCAGCTTCGCGGAAAGGAATATTAAAATTACTCGTCGCGATCGTTAAGTCTACGAACGTCAATTAGTACAATTTCGAGCGTTGAACTTGCCGCTAGTAGATTCTATGACGCTACTTTATAGGAAGCACATCAATTCATAAGCAATTCTCGTCGAGAATTTATTGACAAATCATCGAACGTTTTAGGATAGAAACTCATACGAATGTTCCGAGACGTGCAATTCTTCGTCGAGTGTAAAAAGATATCGTAAAATTCTGTCTCTCGAAGGAGAGATACCATACATTCTTAATACATATAATTATGTGTAAGTTAGAACGTTAGATGTAGACTTATGAGTAACACACACGTATGTACATTGATCACATTAATACATCGAGTGAGCATTTTAGTATTGGAATTAACCCTTCCTTCGAAACTTCTCTGAAATTGCAGCTCGAATCTACTTTTTACAATTAATCGAGTTTCGACGAACCTATATGTTGTTCAAAGGGTTAAATCTTTCGTGGAATATGTGAACAGCGATTGTACTCTGTAACTGTTTACGCTCTTCTCAGGAGTGCATCCAAACTTTAAACAATTATATGAAAAATTTAGAGAAATATGGGACAACTTAGAAACTTTAAAATGTGTTGGAAAGTTTCAAATTTGCGACTGTAAGAAAGTTTGAAAATTCTAAAATGCACTTTCTCTGTCGGTTAGAGCGTATTTAGAATCTTTGAGCGCACCTTCGCGTAAACGAATGGGGTACGCTTCTATCGTAACGACTATCGTTAGAAAATTGAAACGTTAAACTGTATCGAAAGAAATGCAGACGAGCGTTATTTAAATTACATAAGTCGCGTGAAAGGCAGAACGTGACTTTCGACTCGTTAAAAATGTCGTTAATTTGCAAGAAATTCTGCAGAATGAAAGCACACGTACCGCAGTTTTAAGTCTGTCCAGCTCGTTTGTGGTTTCGGTTAAATGGCAAAGAGCTAAAAGCGACGCGTCATGATCCTTTTAACGAATTTAATTCACCTGAATTTCAGAATGTCTTTCAATTCTTTATCGCCGCATCTTCTTCAGCCTGCCTTGATTTCTCTCTGCGCTAAGACGTTTTTATCCCTCGTAGCTCCGCTTTGATTTTTCTTCGCGCGAAAACGAACGTTGAATACACGCTTTTCTTTAAAAAATTCCCCGTGATACATCTTATAAGCGCGTATAATTAAAAGTATTTTTGTCGACAAAATTCTATCTCGAAGCTTCCTTAAAAAAAAAAATGAAGAGTCTTTGCGAGAGTGTTCGAGAAGCATACGTGCTTTTATGCAGGTCAAAAGGAATGTTTCAGTTTAATACTCGTTCGCAACGCGCACGATCGTATACGTTTAGAGGAACAAAATGGAGGCTCTCAATTTATGACACGCATTCCAAAACCGTTTCGAAACTGTACAATGAATTCACCGCAGAGATGAATTCTCCGAAGCAGCCAGTTTCGGCGATAAACGTGAAAGGAAGTTGATATGTCTGAAAAACTAACACTAAACAGCTATGCGGATTTTTACTCCCTGCATTGGCGTAACTAGAATCTTGTTTAGATAAGATGGATCACCGCTTTGCGGCAAGTGGTTTTTAGGGATTTGAGAACTTGGGAATTTTAAGATACAGAAATTAACACTAAACCTACCGACACATAATGTGTACTCAATTTGAAATTAAAAGTGAAGTTAAAAAATAAATGAAGGAACGATGAAACATGAATTAGTACACATATTTAGTCTTCATCTTGATGAAAATCAATGCTGATTTCAAGGAATGTGCTTTAACAAAATGTGTATCTTACGATAAGAACCTTGTGAAGCGGTCATTTGACCTGTTTGGTAGTTTTAGTGTTAAAGAATGTGAAAATTGAAGAATTTTAGAATTGGAGCATGTAGGAATTTGAAGATTGAGGAACTTAAAGAATTTCAGAAATTGAATAAATTGAAAATCTATAAACTTCTACGACTCGTAAAGTTTCTAAGCTAATAAAAGACAAAATACCCTGCATCCTACGTACCTTGCGCCATCTAGGTCCATTTTGTGCACCAGATCGCTAGTTACACCAACGCGATCTACCAAACTCTAAGACGAAAAGGAACGCGTAGGCTGGACATTAAAATTTTCCTGGCACGATAAAATAGAGAATAATAATCCCGGGGAAGCTACGATAGGCTGGTCACGTGGCACCTCGTAGACAAAGTCGATCGAAGCTCTGTACACCGAGAAAAGTCAGAAAAATCAACACGGTGTTGATGTACGCTCTCGACGCAGCGTTCCGCCGATCACCGCCGTGCATGGCGGCCGGTTTTTCTTCCTCTGTAAAGAGAAAACAATAACAATGAAAAAATAGGAGGAGAGCGTAAAGAATAATGTTTGCGATGAAAATGAAAAGTCGGGGAACATTTGTCGAAACCCACCTTCGATCACGTGGATCATGATGTACGCTGGTCTAGCGTTGCTCGGGGAGCAAGTGTAGTTGGCACCGTGGGAGAGTTTCACCTTATCGACCACCAGGATGGAGCCATTTTTAGTAGCCTCGACCCTAACCCCTGGTTCGTCGTCGTAGTTGATCATCCGGCCCTCGCGGTACCAGAAGATGAAGCTCGGCGTCTCCGTGGACGCAATTAGCTGGCACTCCAGTCGGAGGCTGGATCCTTGCTTCACGTGGAGATCTGGTCCTCCAGGAATCGTGGAGTACGCCTCCGTGATGCTCAGACGAACGAATCGTTGCTGAACGGGCTCCGTTTGAATCTGTTTGGTCCATTGAACGTTCAATGTATCATCGTTAATAAAGGAGCAATAACTCTCAAGTACACAAGTCATCGAGTTACCTGACATTCGTACAAGCCAGCATCGTCGCGCTTCACGTTCTTTATCAGCAGGTTCCAGTCCGGACTGGATGAGACGACCATGAACCGCGTATCGATTGCGTGAGTCCTCGTACCCACCGTCAATAGTTGTCTATCTTTTCTCCTGATCCAAGTTACCTAAAACGAGAGAGCCGCTTTACATGCACGCGTGTACGATTGCACGTACAAAGGGTGAGTTTAAACGCGAAACTCGATGCGAAGGTCGGAAGTGCAATTTGTCGGCTACGTAATTCGAGTTATACCTACAAATGGATCGCGGAAACGTGCTCCAAAATTCTGTAACGTTTTAAACGTTTCGACGCTTTTCACATCGCGTCTCTTTTTTTAATCCGACGCGTACAAGAAAAGATCGCGTCGTTAACGCTCGAGGATGCACGATGTTTTTAGCCCGCATTTTTTGCAACTTTCGAGTCTGAAGCTTTTGCGACATTACGTCTTTCGCGGCTGCTTCTTTCATCCATTGGTAAATACTATACTCGCTTCAAAGAATCACTTCCTGCCGCATTATTTATGACGCATTCAGAGCGAATAAGACCGTCTCTAATAAATCCGTTCCGTAAGTACGGAACATCGTCATCCGGCTTATCCGTCCATAACACCATTTTCATCTCTTGATAGTCCCTGTTCTTGCGTTCGCAAAGACGACTTAGAACGAACGACGCTCGCGCATTAACCGGAAACCGCTCGGGCGTATTGTCTGGACGAAAAACTTGCGCGAAGACGGTAATGTGATATCATAATTTCAATCTCTGGGTTCTCAATTTCCTCCAACTTTCAGATTCCTCGAACCATAAGACTGCAAATTTTTCCAAGTTTCCCAAAATTCCTTAGAATAAAAATTTGAGGAACTATTCAAATGTAGTCTACTCTTGGAGATCTCAATAGAAGGTGAATTGTGGAACCTTCTACCGATGAAAGATCGTAGAGTCAAAAGGTAGAATTTATGGTTAATCAGAACAATTCGTTGGCCAGATCGGGACAAGGTAGATCGGGGTCGCTCCTGACGATGACGCTGGGAAAAGGAGGCTGGGCACTTGCGTGCCTTAATTGTCTTTGTCGAGTGCGCTCGACGTTCGCGGCAAGTAGGTTTCGCGATTTTCTGATGCGAGCTTGAGGATCGACGAGTACCGACTCGACGAGAGCACTCGAGCATAAACGAGCTGAATAATGAACCGCTGCGCGACGTATTACGAGTCAGCGTCTACCACCCACCTATTAATCCAATCATCCTGTCGCTTGATTTTTACAAATTGCCACGCGTTCCCGTAACTTCGACCTACCTTCGATAAAATCGTTGCTCAGTTTCAGTTCTCTCTTTTCGTCCCTGACATTTCATCAAATCGACCTTCCACGTATTAATTTTTATTCAGTTTGAATTTCTTTGCATGGTATTTCTCATGTAATAATATTGAATGTTAATAATACTGAAGAGGTTGTTTGTTATATCTGATTGTACAAATGCATTTGTATTTATATGAGGGCAAGAGTTTTATTGCAGATTTTTTAATTTGATGCAGAATTTGCACAGTGTTTGAAATTCATTTATTTGAATTCATTCATTTATTTATTTAAAATTACACGTACATGTTTGGAGATGTCGACTGTTATCGCAGATTTTTATCAAATATGGAAACAGATGTTATGGAGAAAAAATGTCAGATAGGACTACATATGGTTGTCCCATAAATATCGTACGCTAGCATATCGCAAGCGGAAAATCTGTCGGTGTTTATAAAACCTCCGTTCACGCTGGTGGGAAAGAAACAAGAAAATGATCCTTTTTCCAGCTGGCCGAGTTTCATTAATCAGACGACTTATCTTCTCACGTGTGAACGCGGCACCTGATAGCGTCGGCTCTTTAATTAACGCCTTTCCCGAAGGAAATGGAATAAATTCATGGAGCATTAACCATTAGTTCGATTATCCCGATACGCGATTATCGAATCGCGATTGATTTTGTTCGAAATAGACGAATACTTTTAACGACCCTGCCCGTTCAGGGGAGCGAGCGAATCGCTTTATAATTGTACCGTCTGTTGTCGAAATGGCATCGTTCCGCTTTACGGTAGGTTATGAGTGCCGGGAAAATTTATCGCCACTGAAATGGACGTCTGTTTGCAGGGATTTCGCCGCGTAACGCTCTTTCATTACGACCTAATAAGACAGGGTTATTTTAAAAACGTTCATCGGTGTATTTAACCCATGCATCCGTGCGTTTTACACGTAAAAGTCGTAAAGCGTACCTCGTAAAGTTAAACGAATGAACTTGAACGACGCTTTAAGAGGTTAAGAATGCTTTGAAACGTGAGCCGGCAGTGTAAGAGGTTTCGAATCGCGATACACTTCGTTCATCGGATACCGCGTGTCCCGAAGAGACGTCTAACGCGAAAAATCGTCGTTGCAACGGAACGTAAATACCGGAAAGGGGACGTAAGTTGGTCGACAAAGTCGCGAGCGATTTCTCATTTGTCCCAAGTTGGCGAACCCTTGCGAGGGATCCCTCGAGGGCTCTCGTTGCATTCGGGGTGGTAAAACGCATACGCGCGACGTCTAAAGAATCACCGGTGTTTGGACGCAGGCAAAGTTTGCTGATACGGGGGCAAAGGATATCGAGACGAAAGCGCGTGCAAGCGAGTGTGCGGCATGAATAAAAGATCACAGGAGAGAGCATGCGAGTTTCCGCGTGCACCCTTATCGATTGGCCCCTTCGCGCTTCCCGATCTGTCGCGATATGCGGACCGACTCGTGACTCATGGTTTATCTTTGCCCGGCGAACTTCTTACTTCCCGGCTTTTTTCGATGCCACTGTTCTATCGCGGATCTCGGAGATTTATGAGCGCACCGTTACTTCTTTAATATAGATGCACCTTCTGAACATCGATTTCAATTTTTTTTCAAGCATCTTTGTTTGGTCAACGAAGTTTTGTAACGATGGGGAAATTATTGCGGAAGTTCGGAAATCATCGTTCTTTCATTATCTCGTTTCATTAGAGGTCTGATGCCGATACTTTGGAAGTCCATGCTCCGTCCCCGTATGGTTGCGTTTTTAATGGTTCTTTAACCCGCGAACTTTTTCCTCGACAGCTTGGTCTTTCCCTCTTCTCGAGACGCTCGTAGAAAAGTTTCGCGGTTTATGAGAAAATCGCTTCGCTGTGGCACCGCGTTGCCGCCATCTGGCACTGTCTTTCGCTGATTTCTTCGATACGGGGATCGAAATCGTCTTAATCAGCGATATTCGCTTCACGGAATCGAAACATCCAGGAAAATTGTACCACTCTTCCGTTGTTAAGCGATATTCGAAACCGTGGGATATCCAATAACGGGGCGTACACGAGATTCGATCGCTGAATCGCGAGCAGAGATAACGAGCTGTTACTCAGGAAATAATTATGCATATTAGGCCGATATTCGAATCGTCCGTTAATTCGCGTATCAAACCGTTTCGCGTATACATCGAGAACCGGTTAACAAGACAAACGGGTATATTCGCCGCTTTCCATCAACGTGCCAACGTCATTTCCGTGGCCCGATCACACGGAGGACCGTGTCCTAGAAAATAGGTCGATCTTGTTTCCTGTTCGTTTGTGTTCCATCGAAACATTGATTAGCGACCGATTAACATCTGACCGATACATTTTTGCAACGAAGGAACGCGACCTTTTCCTCGAATCGATTAAAATCTTGGTGAAAAGAAAAAACTCGCAAAGTACGCGGCGGAACCGTCCAATATTCCAAGACGAACTTTCCACGACATTCCGGAGACAATTCGCTACTCGAACCAGAAAATTGGAGAAGTTCCGGACTCCCGGAGGGGATTCCCTCTTGGATTCCGAACGCACGTGTACCGATTTCCGAAATATTCATATCGCTCTCGGCCACCGTGAAATTTATACTCGGCACAGGGGTTGAATATAACGTCGGTACGCTTTCGCCCGCGTACGCGTATCGACGGACCGCTCGCGTTCCGTTTACGCGGTTATCTCGATATCCGAACGATCGACGGAAAACGAGCAAAATTGCTCGAACAGACGTAACCACCCAGTCGGTAGAATAATTTTTGGCTTAAATCGCGCTGGATACTCGGTTAATGTACCATAAACGGATCAAATCGATTAATCCGTTTCATTTCGGTTTTAAAATATTACTGCGCATTTCGAATTCCGAGCAGCGACATTCGCCGAAATATCTACCATTCTGTTACATTGTTTTTTTATGGCATATTTGCAAAATGCATATCATTTCTTCTTGATTTATGGACAAAACTGAATGTGCAAGTTAACGTAGAGTCGTACTTATTTTCGGGCATTTTGTGTCCCAAACTTTCGCACGCAGTACTACGTCCCCATTCCTAGGAAATTCTATGTTCATACACGATGGTCCAACTGTCGCCATATTGCGTTGAAACTTTTTCTTTCAGAAAAGAATTTAATCGCCTTTGCTCAGAATACGACTAGATATTAAAAGACAAGGAAGACTCGTGCAATGTTAACATTTCTAAGCGCTAGAGTGAATTATTTCAATAGTTTTTAATTTCTGTAGGAGTCATATTCGTTGCAGACTCGAATTGAGATTCCATCCGAGTACGAATCGATCTTTGGCCTAGGTGTCCTTTTGTAGGCGTCTCCTGCATTTCTAGTTACGGCTTGGCACCTTGCACCCTAACTTCCTCTACGATCACGTATTTCGTTACTTTTGCTGCATCTCGATACTTTCGATACATGGTTGCGTAACTGCTTAGATCGATACAGTTTTCGCAAAATTTTCTCGAGACATCTGAAGTTCGCTTCAGCAAAAACTGATGTTCGTTGAAGTAATTCAGAGTGGGAAGTTGGAGTGCTTCTGTTTCATTACGATTACAAAGTGACCGCCATTACCTGATTTTACACAATTCAACGCGCACACTAACGCCAAAGGAGCGGAAGAGATTTCGCGTCTCCGCACGTCCGCTTAGTTCTTATCGTTGATTGCTTTCTGGTCCGTGAAAGGGGCGAAGAGAAATGGTCGCACCTCAATTACGGGAGGTATCCACGCTATTCTCCACGACAAAAGCAACATAGTTGAAGCGATATCGATATATTGTCAGGAACGGACGGTTAAGTGGGCCATTTCCGACTTTCCATTGTTTCTGAGAGGCTCAATTTGCCACTCTCGACCGCGCACTCTGCCGGACAGAGCTTTCGCTCTTGCCCCGAAAACGTAGGCAAATATTGCCACGGCTAAAGAGGGCTAAAAAACCGGTCGCGCGACTTCTCCGCTGGCGAAGACTCCGATTGTTTGGCAACCGGTTAGAAAGCGATAAATATCCCAAGCAGGTTTTTTCCATTTCCCAACCGAGAAGATTTGAAAGCAAAAAGGCGACCCGTGACCGTAAACGTACAGCACCGGAGGAAGTTGAACTCAAACAGAGTCGAAATTTATTCTGCAACAGTTAAATAGTTTGCGGACTACTTGGCGCGAATCGTCGTTCTTTCTATCCGGTGTTGACTGCGAGGCAACAAGAGGTTCAACGGGTCTTTCGTGGCTTCGAAATTATTTCGAAAGTTGTTCACGGCTGAAATTGCGGAGCCAACTAAATATCTCCGTATCGCACGCAACATTTAGTACCAAACGTTAATTAAAAGTTCTCAGCTTCTTAGTGATTTTACCATTCCAGACCGCGTCGCGAATGCCTCGGACTCGGTACTTTTCGTGCAATTACGTCAAGAGCGCAACTTCTCGCGAAAATGGGGTCGTACTTTGATTCAAGACATTGTAAGACATATCACTCTTCAAACGTACCTTTTCATCAAATTCTCAATAACATAGAATTTAAGTGTCTTCGACGAACGTTTTATTTTTAAAGATCTAATTTGTCGATCAGCCGACCTCAAAGGCATCGTAACCTCGTGATCTCGATAGTCTTCCTCTTTCGTTCCTTTCTTCGTCGCTCCTCGTCTTGATTTGCGGCTGCTGTAATTAACTGCTGTCAACGGCACACGCGCTTTAAACGACCTAGAGATAGAGCAAAGCCGTGACGGAAAGAGAAGGAAGGCAAGAGCCACTTCCTCTTAGTACGCCATTGCCTCGAAGCATGGATTTCTCACCCTGTCGCGATCACATTCTCGCTTAGACAGCTATCCTGTCAAGGGTTCTGTCCAACTCTCCCTCTTATCTGACTACTTATCCCGCTTCGTATCCTGGCTGCGAAATCTATCTCGCGTCCTTCAATTATAATTTATTGCGGGTCATACTGTGATCATTTATCGCTGCCATAAGAAACACGCGTTTGTTGAAACGCAAACGGAATTTGCTTAAGGGATGTGACTGCAGATTCGATCGAAGGGTGCGTACGGAATATTGATACGCGGCACGTACGAGTTTGATGCATGCCGCAACAATTGACGGTGTCAAATTTCACTGGGCTGGGAACTTAATAAATTTCGAATTGCATCGAGTTGCAATTATAGTCTCAAATTGAAAACCGAATTATAATCACGAAGTGTCCTAATCTGTGTCAGATAGAATTACAATCGCTTTAAATTGAAAGCATTCGGCCCGCATTGGAGTGATCCCAATTTGGAATCGTGACAACCTGAACTCGTCGGTCCAAATTAGAATCCCCCGAATTATAATTGAATTCAAACCTCGAATTTACGAAGAACTTGCATAATCCAAACTTTAATCATCCGTTGTTGAACGCAGACATTTTCAGAGAATACGTAAGAGAAACCATGAAGTAGCGGCGCGTTGACGCTTGCAACATTAATACCGAGAAATTACGTTCCAGGTGGAGGAGTAAGGGTTCCAAGCCTCTCGGACGTTCTCTCTTTCATACGCCTATTTTCCGGTCTCTCGGCGTGGCTGCGACGAGCAACCGTCAGGCCACGTTGCGTGAAACGACCGAGTTCCTCTCTTCGAGATATGTTTCCCGATTTCTGCTCTTTGCCACGGTGACCCGTGCCCGAGGCTCGCATACGCCAGTGCTCCGTTCCAATCATTTATTAACGAGCGCAGCTAGGGCAGAGAAGCAACGGATCGGGTTTACTCGGCTGAAATACGCCGTTTGGCTATGCGGGATTTAAAATGGCATGGACGTGTTACGTCCTTTCGGTAAATAATTCACGTTCATCGATGGAATTTGCTCGCACCTTCACGATCTGATAGGCACGCTCCCAAATGAAGTGCCATAGGTAGATAGGATCTTTGGTAGGTAGCTAGGTAGATAGGATCTTAAGATCACAGAATGACAATGTCCCGCTTCAATATTATTAACGAAAGTGTTTCGAATACGATTTATGGTAAACCTGTCAACCTTGCATTTGACAATCCTTGCATCTGACAATCCTCGACCATCCTTGCGAAGGATAATATCAGGGCGTGTAATCGACGCGTTAGCACAATAGTACGATTCGAATGTTAGCGGCAGCAGGCTATAACAGAATGAAAAAGAAGGGGTCCGACTGTGGCGAAGGAGAATCGTGAGTCGTGGCACGTTCGGGCGAATAGTTCGCGCGCGTGCTTTCGGAACGCGCAGCAACGAGGTTGTGCGCGTGCAATCTGCAACTGCGGCTGTTTATCGATGTGGTCGCCATACACAATGCCACGCAAACTTGTGTACAGTGTGCATATTTCCTTAGCGCGCATTGGCCCGTGTATAATACGCGTTACACAGGCCACCGTATAGCTCGTGCATATACGGGTCCACTTGTACGTGAGCCACCTCCGTTGTACACGTCATCTAGAACGCATATATTTGCCTGTGTATACGCATAAGTGTACTTACTATTCCGGGACCAGTGAATCTGCAGGGTAGGTTAGCGTTACCGCCGGTCTGCGCCAGGACATCCTTGACAGATGCAGCTACCGAAGAAGGGACATTGTTGTGAGTCCCGTCGTTGCTCGTTTTCTCGTCGCGAACACCGGCATCTGGAAATATCGAAAAGCATCCGGTACATTATCGTGTACGTTTGTTCCCTCAACGAATCTGGGTTGCGTAGCGGCTGGCGGAAATTAACACCGCGTTATCGTCGAACTGTAAAAATATGCACATGGGAACTCGCGGCATCGAGGAGTAAAATTAGTTCGCTGATTCGGAAATCTTAGGATACAGCGAAACTTAATTTCCGAGGAAAAATCTGCTACAAATTCGAAAGCGGCGAGAAAGTAGATCGAGTGAAAACTTTTCAGCATAGATACGTTTATTAGTTTTTTTGCACGGAACTGCGGTTGTTACGTCTTTATTTTTCTCTTGTTTCCCCGGTTTTTACGGGTACGTCGAAAAAACGCGGGTGCTCGATTTACAGTAGCGTTTTCTTCGCCGGCTCGAGGACAACGATGTCATTTCGTTGTATTACCGTTGCGGAAGAGTTTCGTTGATCACGCGAGCTCCTTCGCTCTTCTGATAGTCTCGCTATCGAGTAACGTACGCGTAACGACTTGGAGCCAAGCCGAAAACTCAAGAAATTGCATTACCAGAGAATATCGTGCACGAGGTTCGCGAGGACCACAGAAGTCGTTGCACTGGATGCTGATTGGACGAGCCAACAAGCCGTGCCAACCCGCTAGCGTTCTCTCCTTTTTTCCTTTTACTTATTAAATGCAGCCGAATTACCCGCCATCGTTGAAACTCTTATCTGCTGGCGTCTGTTGTTCGCCCTCGACGGTTCACAATTGCCGAACGCCGAACCAAAACGAAGGTATCGAGCTTCGGGACGTTTCGACCTTCTTAGTCAGCTCGAAACGTTCGCGTGCGTCGCAACTGGGTCGTTGGTAATTACCGAAGTTATTCAGTGGGCTATGCAGACCGGAAGCGAGGCGGTCGTGGCAGCCACAGAATTTAAGATTCACTCTACGTGGAGCAGCAACAGCAGGCTTGCCTCTCGCTCTCCTCAACGGAGGCTGCTATCCTCCTTCCATTGGCCATCCGCCTACGGTCCTGCTGCCATCCTGGTTGACGAGCTTCTTAAATTGCATTACCTATTAGAGCGACTACCTTAAAATTGTACGCTCCTCTCGGTTCCGGCCGTGCCTGCTAATTTGCACCGGCAAAGAGAAGGACCGGTAATTCGGGGTTAGCTCGGCTTATCTGCTCAGCTGCGATATTCGCAAAGGGCCTGCAAACCTCTCTCCCTTCTTCTCGGCCTCTTGATTAAAGCGACGATTTTTTAGAATCAAAGAAGACGGAATTACGACCCGCTTGTTACGGTGACGGCAATCCGAGAATTTCGCAAATTTCTTCATTCGAGTATTTTCTTTAGAAGATGAAGATATACTACCGACATTTTACAGCGGTTAATCACATATGTACGTATCTAGCATCAATTTAACACACTAACAGCTTTACGTCTAGGATACCATCGCATAATTTTTTACTTTTCTTAGCTTTGTACTTAGCATTCCGATTTTAGATATCGCAGTTCCTATAATGGAGTTCTTCATTGCGAGAGTTCTACAATGTCTTAATCGTAAAACGACAGTTTGCGTAAAAACCTCGTCAAATGCGCAGCTTAATTCCGTCTACGTTTATTTTCTTACGCTGCTATTTGCTTACGGTCTCGAATCGCATAAACTGCTGCTTAAATCATTCTGTACGGCACAGGGCATGGTCATTCGTAGCGAGTAATTTCTTTACGTCACCGACCATAATAGGACTCGTTTTATAGCCTTCTCCGGCAGATAAACGGCTAGATAAACAGCACGGATTTTACGGAGGAACGAATTAAAGGATGTTTCGTGCTAAATTGAATTTTCGTGCAAGCATGATTCCGTCTTGCCATCTGATATGAAAATGTTTCATATATCGAAAACGTTTCATATTTTTATATCGAATAAAAGGAGTCATTTTGTAGGGGTGTTTGATAAAATGGCGTTAGGTATACGCGGAAATGGCTGAAGCTTAAAGGTTCTCACGAGGGAACAAGGTAGCTTGGCAACGCGTGGTTTACCTCGTGAATCAAGAAGATACAAGCTTCGAGGCATAAAGCCAGCGGGTTTTGATTATTTTGGCACAGTTAACGATAAGAAAGCTTTGTACTTGATTTACTCTCATGTGTCCAGTTCCAAGCAGACTCTGAGACGTCCTCTTCGGACAGCCGTCACGATTGATTGATATCGATCGAACGTAATCGCGTCTCTCGTGGAGCGTCATCCGGATCGATCCGCGCGTTAGAGATCTCTTTGTATACGAAACGTTGTGTTCGCAGTGCGAAATGTCATTCGGGCTAGAACAGGCGTAAGTGTGGGTATATGTGGATGCAGTATAACCATGCGAGCAGATGGAATCGCGCGATCGACAAAGGGAGGCAGGTGAATGCCGTGCTTAAATGTCTTGGATGGTACATCGACGCGATTGCACGCAACATATGTATGTATGTACGCGTACACCTGACCAGCCAAGCCACCTTCTCTCTATTATCGCACAGGCTACCGTGACCACCAGGTTACGCCCTGTTCGCTCTCTCATCGACGCGAGTTTCAACTATTTACGGCACACCGAACACGATCGATGCCTAAAGGGCTTTGACCACCGGATGATAAAGGTTTGAATGAACTTTGCGAGTGAACTTTGCGGTTACGGAGCGCGTTCATCAGCCATAATCGATCGTGTTACCCGATGTATCTCCATTTCCGAATCGTATAGCGATGTCAGGAGCTTGTTAACAGTGGTAATTGCGACTGATGTCTGCGATGGACCAGGTACTACGATCGCTTGCATTGTCACTCACGCTGACCGAGTGACTTCTCAAAATTTGCCGATATAATTCGAAACGTTGACTCGCTGATTTAATCAGAGGAATTAATTGAAGAATTTAGGGACAGTTTTGAATTTGTCTGATTAAAAAATGAAATCGAGCGTGAGAGAACGCGTTCAATAATCGTAATACGTCGAATCGTTGAAGATTCGTAGAGACGGAGAAATGTAAATTCTTCCGTGACTTATCAGCGGAAACGGTTCGAGCATCTTTTACAAAAGCGCAGAGAAGGAACTTTCTGAAAGGAACAGAAGATCTTTGTAATTGGACAATTTGCAAAGATGAATTTTGAGGCAAAGAACCGGTTCCCTCGTAAAGGAAAGTTTACGATTTTCAAAGCATTTCGTGAATTCTACGGTACTTTATCTTCGTCCACCGGCGTTGCGAGCCTTGCGAAAATAACGGCGAATCGGGTCATTCTTGTAGCATTCGAGGGGAAGAGACCTCGCTACCGTGCTCGAAAGTAGCTAATAACGATGCAAACAACTTTTCTGAACGTCGTCGAAATAATTTTTCTTTTTCGCAAAATGAGGTTGTTTATGGAGCAGATTTTTTGCTAAATTGAGCTTTTTACAGGAGGAGATTTTATTATCGACAAACTGTGCAAATTTCCCTTTCATAGTACGACTGTTCGCGTACACCCACAGACACATAAACAGAAGGTTCGAACGCATTCGTGACAGTAAATTTCAGGAACGTTATTACGTTACGTATCTACCGACCCAATATATTTCTCCCTGGACGATTACCGTGACCCACGTTAATTGGAATCCTCGTGCTTTCGGCCTAACAATTATCTCATCGGTGTACCGATCTTGCACAAACGTTTCTCCTACGATCACCGACATGAAGCACTCAAAAGCAAGTAGTTAATAATTGGTCAACACACGGTAAAAAAACTGGTATTTCGATTAATGATTTTTGGTCATAAAACACAGTGTAAAAAGCCATCGGTAAACTCGGTAATTGAAACTGTGTGTACCAATAATTGACGCACCTCGATTTTGAATTAATTTAGCAAACAGGGTATCAAAGTAACGAATATCAAAAAACATTTTCGTTGTAAATCGAGCGGAATTAATTAAGCGCTTAAATACATAAGCAAATAATTGGACGTTTAATTTCCATTAATTTTACTGAAATGCGACGTGTGCAAGAAATTTTAATACGTCCAAAATTAAATATGGAATAAAAATAATGGCCAAGAAGATTCTTTTTCCTGTGGAAAATTTCTGGAGGCAACTGGGATTCTTTGTAGTCCGGGGAGCATACGATAGGAAATGTCCAGAAAAATGTCTGTACATTGTCCGATAACGCTTCCACTTTTCGTCGCTTTTCTGAAAGCCACCTTTCTCTAAAATAAAATTTAAGACGAGACAATTTTCACGCGTGGTAGCTCTGTTCGTTACACGCGCTACGAACAGTTTTCCAGGTTAACGTCGTGTTCGTGAAATTATTTTTCGCGATTTATCCGCATCGTTACAACGAAGAATAAGCTTCGCTTCTTAACCGGAAGGAAGTTGTTGCGAGACAAGCGATACCTTTATCTTCGTTAAGGGTGTTTCGCGTCGTTCCAGCTCCGTCGAGTGAACGTATATTTCACCCCTTATTTTTGCTATCGCCCGTCAACCTTTTTCATCCACCACGACGTAGAATCATATCGACAGTCATGAAATTTTCTGTATTCTGATCTGCTAGTTTTAGCCTTTGGGGGTTAAAGATTTGAGGAGTTAGAAATTTTGAGAATTTAGGAATTTGCGAGTTTGGATTGAAACTGTAGAGGGTTTAGAAATTTGGAAAGTTGGGAGAGCTTTGAGATTGTTTCGGAAGTTTGTGGATTTGAGAATTTCGATATAACTTATATGAGACTACATGTAGCACTGTCCTTGCCAGCATTCCCAAAATAGAAGTAAGAGGCACGATCGAGCAGTTAATTACGATCGCGTTTTAAAACGAGGGTAATTACGGTGGACGATTCTAATCGTTTCCTTGTTCCGGCTTTTCGATGCTTTCAGATGGCAATGAGCAGGAAAGGAGAGAGTCGAAGGATGGAAAAGATGCGGAGGACGGACAAGGAACGGGGAAAGTGTCATGGATAAAGAGGGTAGAAGAGAAGGAAACGGGGATATCGGGCTGCTCTATCTATGGCCCCGGCTTCACGGTGAATACGAATGAGCTCCTGGTCGATCGGGCTGAAGCACTAATTGAGAAAGTTCGCTGGTACCGCCGCTGGTGTTTCCTCTGGATGAAGATAGCCGACCACCTCTAGGGGTAAGTCTACTCGTCCATTCCTCTTCTTCGTGATTAAGGCCTGTTCCTTTAGGCGTCGTTTCCAACGTTAAAGAACCGAAAAGTAAAGGACTGCGAATGTACTCGAGATCAGGTCGGAAAATGTTTCCGCAAAGAAGTAAAACGGTTTTCACGAAAACTGTTAAGGGGTTAACCACCTTGGTCAGTCGGGGTAATTTCTGGAAATGAGAGACACTCGCAGTGAGCAAACGCGAACCTTTATGGGCAGTTTTTGGACAATGTAGCTTTTGACATTCTATTTGATGTTAAAGGTCCCTTTGAACGTTCTGACGCATCGTTTGACGTATAAATTGTTCGTTACCATTGACAACGAACCGGTTCGTTAAAAGTATAAACAACGAATCGCGCGATTACTTCGAATAAAATTTCCAATAAAGTCGCAAAACTGTTATGTTCGTTAAACGATGATTTGACTCACCAGTCGGATGAACGAGGTGACACGATGATGCCAGTAACAGGAGGATAAATCGAAGCGCGCTCATGATGGCTTCGATTCATGTGTCCATTGTGCGTTCATCCGCGAACTCGCCTGCAACGAAAAAAGCGCGTATATATCTGCGAAAACGTTACATCGCTCATTGAAAATGGTCGTTGAAAATTTATCTGATAATTTTGTTATGAAATCAACGTATATTTTGATACGCGCCGAGCTTCACGACTCGTTAAACAAAAACGGTAGGGTTTCCAACGCGACGTTTTTACGCAGACCTAATTTCGAGGATATTCCGAACAAAGTATATTACTCTGAAGAGGTCTCATTTTGTATCGAACGTAATACCAAAAAGGATCTTTTCTATCGAAGTCTCTAATTAATCCTGTATCGCAAAGCCTTATCGAGCACTAAAGCCGATGGGTACATTGTTAATACCGAACGATGACTATGATTCGCGTTCGTCTACTATACACGCATTCATCCGTCAGAGCCTATAGCGAGACAAGAGCCTGTTCGCTCGGAAAATGCGCCCCGGATTTCGTGGCAATGTATCGAGTATCTCGAATAATCCAGGTAAACGATAGAGTACCGATCACTCTTGGCCCACACCACGCTTGTCCACGTTTCAAAGATCTTGCAGCACTATGATACTCGATAGCAATGCAACTGGCTTCCGAAAAACAGCGTTTGTGATGGGGATTGACAGATCAATGTTCAGATATTTCAATGCACGGTGTACAATGTTACAAACTTGGGATTTTAGAACAACCTGGTCTTTTTGTTAGTCTGTCAGACCTATTCTCGTGCCTATCTGTCAATCTATCAACCAATTACCTATCTGGTGCAGATAGTTATTTGCTACCTATTTGGTGCCTGTCTATCTGATCTATCTTATGAGCTACTATCTAATGTTCTGTCTTAACTATGAAGCTATGAGACGTATCTGTCTACTCAACGAGCTACCTGAACTACTTACCTAATGTCTATCTACTCAATGAGCTACCTAGACTATTTACCTAATGCCTATCTACTCAATGAGCTACCTAGACTATTTACCTAATGCCTATCTACTCAATGAGCTACCTGGTCCATCTAATGTTCTGTCTTAACTATGAACCCATGAGACATATCTGCCTACTCAAGGAGCTACCTGAACTACTTACCTAATACTTGAACTACCTACCTAACTCTCTATTTAACTATTTTATAAACTATCTATTTAATGGTTTATCTATTAACCTAATGATCTGATTGAACAACCCATCTACCAAATGTACCTATGTACTCAGCTACTTATGTAGCCTATCTACCTAACTGGACCTGATATATCCCTATCTACCACTATATTCCTCGGGTCCCAAATTTGTAAATATATGAATTTAGGGGGAACGCGGTTCCATAAGAGACTCCGAGCCAAGAGTTCAGTAAGGGAGTTTCAAGACGGAGAATGGAATATCTAAGTTCTGGCGGTCGGCAACTTCCCGCACAAATTCCTGGTATATACAAGTTTACGCGCAATGAAAAGTCTCCGAAAACAAAGGGAATAATTTCTAGAAGTCCAAGAATCTCGACGGTCCTTCAAGAAACAGCAGGAAAGTTGACCGCGAGTTCCATGGTGAATTCTTCGCGTTTCGTATTTGAAATTCGGAGATAGTACACCGGTAATTTAGGAATCCATAATCAAGCTCGTTGCGAATGGATATCGGGACAGGAAATAAATGCGAGAATTGCGTTCCCTGTGTTCGATTAATTCGTGTAAACCCGAGCGCATATGAATATTTATTTCCGCAAATATATATTAACGAGATGCAAAGTTGTTTCCCGTGCCTGTGTTTCCCTTGACCGATAAGCGTAATTAAAATGTTTTATGACGATATTTTAACAGCGTATAACCGATCAGGGTTTGTTTTTCAACTATCCGGGGAGATTAACCGCGAGCGGCTAATTACGCGTGTCGGTATCTCCGCGTTCTTCGAGACGGTAATCTACGAATTGAAACGAAACACGTTCAGTTTATTTCGCGAGTTCACCTACGAACTCATACTTTCGCTACTTAATTAGACGCTGCTTTAACCGGGTTGCCCGTCCGCGATGAAAGCAACCGCTAGATGGTTGCGGGTATACGAATGGAGGCGAACCAACCTAGAAGAGCGTAGCTTTGTTTAATCTGCACGTTCTACAGCTCGTACGAACGATACTTGTTGACGTACTCGTTTGAATAAACCATTCACCGCCATTCACGCAACTGGGATTTTTGATGAGCCGAATCAAATACTCCAGCTTTACTGATAATGTCAACACTCCAGGACCAAGTTTTCGAGGATTTCCAAATTGAGAGATTTAGGGATCTTCTGTAGTTTAAAAAATCACCTCTCACATTTTAAGCCCAACTTGTTTGAAAGAATTCCACTATAATCACTATTTAATTTAATCTCAACCTCTTTTATTTATTATATTTTTATATAGATTTCGATGCAGTCGCCATGTGTTGTATTGCAATATGTCAAACCACCACGTGTTGAATTACCGTCCGTCGAATCTCCACGCATTATATTGCCACGCGCTGATTCACCACGCGTTGTATTGCCATGTGTGGAATCGCCACGCGTGGTATCGCCACGTGTCAAATCACCACGCGTTGAATTACCATCCGTCGAATCTCCACGCGTTATATCGCCACGCGCTGATTCACCATGCGTTATATCGCCATGTGTGGAATCGCCACGCGTGGTATCGCCACGTGTGGTATCGCCACGCGTGATATCGCCACGCGTCAAATCACCACGCGTTGAATTACCATCCGTCGAATCTCCACGCATTATATCGCCACGCGCTGACTCACCACGCGTTATATCGCCATGTGTGGAATTACCACGCGTAATATCGCCACGCGTGATATCGCCACGTGTCAAATCACCACGCGTTGAATTACCATCCGTCGAATCTCCTTCGAATCCTTCGAATCAGGGACACGTGTTCGTATCGAAAGATTGATCGAGAGGTGTTCAGCACGTATCAGGATGCAAAGCGCGCGTGATTTCTTTAAACGCGCGCATCAGACAGTTTTACGTCGAAAGAAGAAGCTCGAGAGACGGGAAGATAGGAGAAACGGGCAAATTAGTGTCAGCAGAGGGAGCAGAAGAGCCCGAAAACCTCGAGAGGAGGAAATATAAATGCGAACACTTTCGTCACGGGTCACGTATTTTTCTTTCTTGCATTTGTCGCGCTTTTCATCGTTGCAAGCTGAGAGAAAAAAAGCGACTGGTACGTGGCCTTTTTGGTGAAACGTGCCGCCCCGTGTCTTCGAGAAGAACCGCTCGACGGTAAAGGGTGGACGAAGCGGAAAAGAAAATTAAAGAGGCTGGCTAGCATCTCTCCGGGGGCAATTAGCATTCCTCTACCTTTTGTCCAGCGGATCTTCGCGATTCGTCATCGCCGTTTAATCGTATTTCTCGATTCGAGTCGGTATATCTGCCGAATTACTCGTATATTATCGTCGATGTGTTCGTAACATTGGCCCGCGTTAACGTAGGGAAATTTATTGCGCTTTTTCGGCGCGCCTGGCTCGAATTTTACGTCGCAGCGCCATTTGTTTTTATCGTACGGATAGCAGGAAGTAGAATAAAAACGATTCCGTATCGCTAAAAGGTTTGCCACCGTTGCGTTTCGACTAACTCTCCAAAGGTACAAAATAACCATTAAAACATTCGCGACGGTGTACCAATGCGGAAGCCACGTTGCACTCGTGGGTCTACATTTTTCAATTAAAAATTTTTTATTTCCAACTTACCGAATTGTCGGATTTCTGGAGTTGAAAATTAAAAAATTTTGAAAATCTCCGGTGACACGTCAGTCTATTTTCCGTCGACTGTATCTGCGGAGCATTGTTATCAGTTCGCCAAATACAGTTCCGCGGCTTAACGCAAGCTAGACAGACGGTGCGATTCGGTTTGCTGCACACGACGGTGTATCGTCAACGTAATATTTAACCCCGTCCGCAGTTTTTCTCGTGGAAAAAGCAGTCTTACGGAGAATCGTGATTTACCGTCGAGCGAGCCGAATTATCGATTGCAGCCCCCGTCGATATATTAACGGTGATACGTTCTCACCGTGGCCGATACCATTGTTACGGGGGTCCTATAATATCCTACATACAGTACCGTATCGTTCCGTTTCCTCGCTCCGCCATAACTTATGGGAGGATTTTTCTTCTTTTAACTTTGCTTTACTCGCCTATGAAACGTATCGGGAACGGAAGCTCGAATTTCAAACCCCTCGACTACCAGTTCGATATTTATTTTTCAGCCTTGCTAAATATTGCCAATGAGTAATTAGTACGGTAGCAAAAAGTTCGACAAATAGAGCGTGAAGTCTTTTTACAGATCACTTATTTTTAATCGAAGTGTCTTTTTATCGAGATGCTTTTACCATTTCATTCGTTTGTCCGGTCAACTTCAAGCATCCTTTCATATTTCATGAAGGTTCGGAAGATTCGAATGGTACCCGAATTGATGTCCCACAAACAAAACTAAAATATTTTCGATATTTTCTTACAAAAACAAAGATCCCCAACATGCTGCGCAACGATAACATGACAGTAGAACATATCATTAGCCACTGCAGGAAATATACCGCAGACTGTGATTCAATATAAAACCATCCCTAAAGATGCTACCCAAAACTTGCTGAAGTACCTTAAAGAGTCTAAACTGTACAATAAGCTGTAAACTTTTCCTGAGTCGAGAACCCATGGGTTGATGCGACTATAAATAAAAAAAATTGCAGCAGAATGGGTCAACCGATGAAAATAACAAAGATATTGTAACACATAAACGTGTCTAATGAATGTTTGAGGCTAACTTGGCAATAAGAAATAGTTTCCATATTTACGTGATAGAGAGGGGTTAGCGAAGGTGTAAACTCGCAAAGCGAACGGATAAGGAGTGAAGAAAATTGGGTTTCCTCGGTGGTGGGCGGCACTAGCGCAAGGAGAAGCCCTTCCGTCTGGAAGTGTCTGCACGTGGCGGAGAAGCCGTACACGGGGATACTTGAATTATGTATATAACGCCGTCAGCCGGTCGTCTTGACGGTGTAAC